AGGATTAAGGGTTCGTTTAAGGTCATGCCACATTTTTTTTTTTTTGGAGCCATTAAAGATAGAGTGCTTTAACACATTATCATTATTAACTAAGTGCAACTGGGCTTAAGGTTAAGAACTGATCACCTGAACTTCTCCCTAAAGAGCTAGAACTTTGCAATAGATCCACACATAAACATTGTGCATGGGGTTTTGATTGATATGTGCGCATGCCGACTAAAAGGGCTGTACAGAACATTTTCTGTTCAAACACTTGTTCCTTGAAACCCCTACTTAAAAGTATACCAGCTAATCTATAGTAAATCAGGCAGCACCAGCAGCAGTAGCAGTAGCCATCTGCTTGTCAGGAGCTTTTTAGGAGAAGTCCTGGATGCTACCGCAGTCTAAGTTTCCCATGCGCTGATTACCCAGGTGCACGATAGTGGGCAGTGCCCGGCTGACTGTTAACACACAATAGAAAAGTTGAAGTGCTGTGTGTCTGGATCCAAGCTGCATGAACAATCTTTACATTTCAGCTCTTTTCTGCTTTTGCGTCTCTGGCCGAACAGACAGAGACATTACAAGCAATCATTAAATGAGGAGGTCAAAGTTGACACTTGCGCTAACATTGCTCTCTCACCATGGCATCAGTCTGACACGTTATCGCTGGTCACCTGTCTGACTGTGTTTCTGTCTGTCCATCATACCAGATTAGCCCAGAGGCCCTGCAGCAAAGTCACAACTTCTTCAAGGCTGCATCGTGGGCCTCACACTTCCCCGCATGAATGGCTCGCAGGTCGAGTGTCAGCTCGAGTGGTCACACTGCAGATCAAACTGTGTTGGCCTTTGTGACTTTAAACACCACAGTTTAGGAGACTATTTCTTTATGTGTTGGGATGTGAAAGGTAAACACAGTCAGTCGCTCTGCTGCTCTGCGGACATTAAGCCTATTTTCCAGCCAGAGGTCAGTATGAAAAGCCTATTGTTGTATGAATCTCAGTGTCGCAGAGTGGGCAGCCTCGCCGCTGCAGACTCCATCGCCACTTCTTAACCTCTAGGTCCGAACATTAAGCTGCACAATGGTGAGCAGAGAGCACCTTGTTTCCAGAGGGTTATTCTGTGCCGTTTTCTTTGTGAGGCAGCTGCACAGAAACTGAAAGGCAGTCAGAGCTACAAAAGGTAAGTATTTATGCTGTATAGAAACTGTTTCAATACACGCGGTCAGACGACAGAATAATTGACTGCACTTGTTTAACAGCTGAACAGTCTTACAGTCTACAGCCGACGGGGAAATTTCTCGGCAGCGACACTCTGAGAAATATACTGTATTTTCAAACCATGTCAGCTTCTCTCACAGAAATATTTCACCCCTATTCTAATATTTATGTAATTTTGTTACATAACGAATTCCCAATTATTTTTTTTAGATAACTGTAACACAAAACTGTTAAATAAACCTTACATTATGCATATTCGTTAATTTAATATAGCTTATTTACATAAAATACATACAAGTCAGGTTTATGTAATTAGAATTAAAAAAGTGTATTTATTTCAAATACATAAAGTTTATTTGTTTGAATTGTGTAGTGATTTATGCAATTCAAACAATAAACGTTATGTTTTTGAAATAAATACATCCTTTAATATTAATTTTGAGCAAGTTTTCTTTGTTAATACTAGATACATAAACCTGATTATAAAGTATTTTAAATAATGCGCTTTATTATACAAACATATATAAATCATGTAAGTTTTATCCATTAGGTTTGTGTTAAAACTATTTTAAAATATGTACATGGGAATTTGTTATGTAATAAATTTACATAAATCTTAAAATGTTGTTGAAAAATTTATGAGTGCAAAAGGAATGCGATATGTAATCTCATTCTCATTTTTAGCCTAATTTCTCAACTGAAATGAAGAGAAATGTCAATATTAATAAAATGCTATTAAAATACCTTGAGGTGCAAATGTATCATGTATCCTGTTATGGTATTCTTCATAGCAGCTGATATTCAAGCACAGTGGTAACCTGTAATTTATTTTAAAATAATGAAGACACTAATAATATTGACATGTTCTTTATATATTGTATTTTGCAAACAAAGTTCAGAAAGTAAGTTGTCCTTTTCATGGTACTCAGTCAAGTGCTGTATATGACTGATTGTATCTCTAATTAATACCCACTAGCATCAGCTA